CGCCATCGTTTTGTCAAGTTTAGCAAGCTACTAGGACTAAACATATTTCTAGTCCTAGCCAAAAGGAACTGATATGTTGAGCTTTATTTGTAATCACACTATAATAGCTTTAACAAACAAAAATGATGAATTAAGTTTTTTTTCTGAAAGACGAAAACACAGTATATTAACCAAAAGATATTGGATATAATTTTAATTTCATGAATCTGTGGGAGGGCGGGTGTTCGTTTCTGGTTACATTAAAAGCGTTCTGTCAGTTTTTTAAATGGCCAATATTTGTTTATTCCTTCAACTATGATATAGTTTTATTATAATGAAAACTATGAAAATAAATGTTATATTTATACTATGTCAGCACACAAAAAAGTAGATTAAGTTGTGAAAAATTTGTACTAGAAATTATTAGGGACCATATGAAGCTTAAAAGATCTATGTTATTAAGTCTTTTATCGGTTTGATAAGATAAGTTAATATAGTCACATTCAATTATCCTTACAATAATCGAATAAATAGTCTTCAATTATGGAGCAGAACAAATTTAGGTTTCGTTTGTGCGTTTTGGAAAAAGATCCTGAATGGTTTTTCGATAACTAAATCCTATCACTATCAATATTCATTATAGTCAACCAATTATGAAATTGTTAAATTAGGTAATTTATTGGAACTATTAATTTTTTGTAAGTTTTTATTGATAAGTATATGTATTCACTTAAAATTCAGTGAGTAGTAAGTGTGATATATGATTCTGAACGGTTTAACTTTTGCTATATGTAGTTGCCGTAAAAAGTAACAGATCGAAGAGAAACATACGTATAGTAATAAAGTACGTAAGCATACCTGTCTAAAACTTTAACAAATACCATAAAAAACTTTAAACAGCTGATAGTCGTAGATCAACTTTAAAGAATTTTTTTAAATTGGTATTTTACCATCAGCAAAGTCAGAATTATTTCATCCATTCATGATTTCATTTTTCTGGTTACACTGACTTGCGACGTAACTGAAAAGGTCAGAAAGAGGCAGTTATCTAGACGAATTCTTTCACTGTGCCATACGTCAATATACCACTAAAGATATCTGCTCTATATATCAAGGTTAAACTTTCTAAAAATTTCACATGGATTATATTTGTATATATGATTTTTATAATGATTTCATAAACGTCGGGTAACAAGCAATTAGTCAGAAAATGCGTTATCTTGTTAATCACAGTTTTTATATATAAATTTTTACCTTAAAACCAGATATCTAAGCTATCACTAAGCTATGTTGACCTAAAGCGTAGTGAAAAAGTAGCTGCTTATAGCTGTCTTTATTAAAATCTATTATCAAATGTACTAAAAACTTCAAAAAATTTATATTATTAGTCACTGAAAAATTTTTTTATTTCAAAATATTTTTTCCGAAGTTTATTCCAAACTATTTTCTTATAAGAATTGATGCAATTAGTTAATTGTCTTTATTTTCTTGTTACTCAACTCACTGTTTCCTTTTGAAAGTTAGAATTTATCATGTAAATGCCAATATGGAACCAATGTGAACTATTGCTGCTTGACAGCTTGACTTACCCAATATGGAATAGAGTGGCCTATTGCGACTGCAAACGTAATCAAAGTAGCTCTCGCATGGATATTTGCTAAGATTAATGGACTCGTTCAAGTTTTTTGCCATAGCGTCCAGTTCTTTTATGCGTAAATCTGAAAGATGGCCTTTGTAGGCAATTTGACCGCTAACATTTTGTGGTAAATTTCCGCAAATTGCGAGGAGAATAAAAAGTTTTAAAAACAACTGCAGTAGTGGAAACAAAAACTGGAAACGTTGATGATGACAAATCCACAGCTGAGTAAACATTGTTGTTGGATTTCTTATTTTTGTATTATTTTTTGCTTAACTTCACAAACACCACTAGAGCACTTTGGGTTATATGTAGCAGAGCTTGGGAACCAGTCAATGTTACTACAGTTGACAAATTTCAATTTGGCTTACTCTTATTTTGTAACTTATTTTTGTGGCTTAGAACCAAAAACAATGAGCACAAATATGAAATATGTTGGAGTGCAGAGTGCACAAGTTTCACTTGTGAATTCAAATAAAAGTCGCAGTTAATCACAAACTAAAATGCGCTTCTGACGAGCTAAAAACGTTGTTTTTCAACGTCAACAATCAACAAACTGATGCTGTCCAACGTTGTTTGTGGTGATAAGACTGGCCCCGAGGTGTCAGTCCAGCGGCGGAAAATTGTAGATAGCGCTAGTAGTGTATTAAAATTTATACTCTGTAAATGTCTATATTTCTTTTTATTCATAATGTTTTTTATATGTCGAATATTGCTTCTCTGCTGTTTTTTGATGAAATTTTTACCGCCTTAACTCTTCTCGAAAATAATGGAGAACCACAATTTTTGTGTTGGTTGCCACAAATTTTTGTTTGAATTTTAAAATTTTCAGTGTTGTGTTTTATGGTTTTAAACACACAATTTTATAAAAATATTTAACAAAATGCCATCATTCATTAGATTTGTTTTTATGTCAGTTTTTATGATTTCACAACTTTAGTTACAACATACAAAATTTATTCTATTCAAAGTTTTGCTATAAAATAATTTGTTGTTAATTATTTTGTAATTGCTTTAATTATGGCTACACTTAGACTATCATGAAATATAAATTTAAATAAAAATTTTATTTATTTTATATCTTGAAATTTAAATGTGCTTGCATAAAACTGTAGCATCTCTAAAGCTACACCACAAAATATTTATTAATTGTCATATAAATCTAAATAAATGTAAGCATTTGTCTATATGCCATGACATATATATATTTACTGTAAATTATAATATAGATGTTTTCAAATTAAATTTTATTTATTTTTATTTATAAGCATTTTATTGAAATTTTCTATTTCTAATAGAATAATATTTCTTATATAAAACTTTTGAATATATCCTAAATCATTTCAAATAAAATCTTTACTTATAAAGTTTTTATACATTGGAATTATTTACATAATATTCTCCTTTAGCGATTAAAAATAATTATTTAAATTATGAAATACTTACATACGTATTACAAAGTTACGTGACATGTCGACAACTACAAGTTAACTAAAATAAGTACTACAGACCTCTATAATTGACCGAAAACTATTAGAGTGATGCTTGCTCTGTGAATTACATGTGCTTGGAAGAGAAAGAGCAAGAGTAGAAGAGAGATAAAAAAAGAGTTGTAGTAATCATTTTAAATAATAAAGTAATTTATAGACTTATTTTGTATATAAAGATCCTGAATTGCTTTTCGATAACCAAATCCTAACATAACCAATATTCATTATAGTCAACCAATTTTGAAACTTTGAAATTAACTATTAATATTTTGTAATTTTTTATAGATAATATAAGATTTTATAGATTTTTTATAGATGAATACATATTTCACTTAAAATTCAGTGAGTGGTAAGTGTGATATATGATTCAGATCGGTATGGTCTTTTTGTTTAGTCGTGATAGTCAAAAAGTAAAAGCAATTTTACCGATTAAAGAATCAATTTGGGCATATTGTTTTTTAAAGTAACTTTGTCTGATCTTTATCATTTTTTACTTACCATGGCACTGCTAATATTATCTTTAATATATTTGGCTTAGCTCCTTGCAGAAATTCAGTATATTTGACATACTTGCATTGCCTTACAGCAAAAGACCGTATGTCCAAATTAGCTTTATGATGCTGTTATAAGAAAGTACTTTAGGGAAGAAGAACCTTATAAGTTTTTGGAATATTGGCTGCTGAGCTACCAAATGATGTGGAATACCAGCTTGTTATTAGATTTACATTTATTTTACTATATGCTATATAGATGGCGTATCTATCTAACTACATTTTCAAAAAAGTGATGTGGTCTGCTTCAAGTATTGGAATTTTGCTCAAAGTAATTTTACCGATGAAATAACTCAATTAGTCATGAATTTGACTTGACGATATATTTATTTACTGATTTTGATACGTCATTAGGCTCTTCAGTTTTCAGAAAAGGTTAGTGATTCTCTAATTGTCTTAAAACTTCATAAATAGAATAGCATTATGAGCGCGATAGATCTTTAACGTTGTTTTGCACTATCCCTTATCGAAATAATAGATATGATGCATTATCATTGAACATAGAAGTGACAAAGCAATTATTTATAGTAATGTATATAAATCAATACTAGAAAAAAAGGGAAAACACAAACGCTGTCATTGGGAAAATCAGTACACACCATTAAAAAAAGCAGTGATAAGTGATTCATACTTTAAACTAAATACCTTGTATACCCTAATTTGATAGCTAATCGAGTTAATGTATATGTATGTATATATAGCAACACATAGTTTTTTCTATTGAATTTTTTATACATATATGAAGAAAAGTTGCGTTTAGTTTGATAAG